TGAGGAGGCGACTCAGCGCCCAGGGGAGCGCTCGCCCAGAACTCCAGCCGGGAAGGAGGGTGGCCGGCCAGCCTGGGGTGACTGCTCCAGCTCCACCAGAATCCAATCCCCTCACCCCCGCCCCCCAGGCCTCCTGCTGCCCAGTCCGGCTGCTAAGAATAGTCCCGGCCCAGCCAGCATCCAGAGCACGCGTGCTCCGCACCAGGCATCAGCGCGGTTGGCATCGAGACCTTTGACCACAGACCTCCCCTCGTGGCCTTCTGCCCGTGGAGAGGGAAGCCTGAAAACTGGAGGGTCCGGAGGGCGCTGCGGGACTCGCGGCTGCTCCCAGCGCTTCCCAGGGGCAGGGTGGGCTGGACGATGGTTGCAACTGGCTTTTTAAATACAAGACATCTAAATTCATGTTTCTTATTTCTGAGCAAACCAAATCAGTGTCAGTACCCATAAGATAAGTCTATGCATTTGGTCTACAAAGGGATTCTTTATTTTGCAAGAAAAGTCCTGAGCAAGTGCCTCTTTTGAGTCCTGAAATATACTGTTTTTCAACATTTCGACTGCCACGCAACCATTTCATACAGGAAAGCAGGTCACTGGTCTAATTACCCCTCGCGCTAGGTCGTGTTTGAAAGGATACTTATTTCCGCCGCACTGGGAGAATTAACTCAGTTTTGGCTTCCCCGGGCTGCAGTAGCAAAATACCAGACTGGGTGGCTTAGGCAACAGAAGCGTGTTCTCCCACAGTTCCGGGGGCTGGAATTCTGTCGAGGTGTCACCCCGACAGCTCCAGGGGAGGGTCCTTCCTGGCCTCCTGCAGTCCTGGTGTCTCCTGCAGGCCTTGGCATCCCTCGGCCTGTGAATACGTCACTCCAAACACACGGCATCTCCTCCCTGTCCCTTCACGTGTCTGCCCTGTGCGTGTCTGTCTCAGGGTCCAGATTTCCCCTTTTTATAAATAAGGACTCCAGTCATGCGGGATTAGAGCCCATCCTATGACTCCATCGTCACCTGATTAAGACCCTATCTTCAAGTAGGGTCACATTCTGAGGGCCCAGGGATCAGGACCCCAACATATCTGTTTGGGGGGCACACAATTCAAGCCCTAACACTCCCATTTCCTAATAGAGGAGTAGACGGGAGAAAGGGGAAAGAGGACAGTGAGCGTAGACCACACGGGAGGGAGGGCGAAGCCAGCCTGCTCCGTGCACGCTGGATTCATCTTCGTGGCTTGCACCATGGGGCGTGTTGGGCCAACAGCACACGGGCGTCAACGCGCAAAGCTCACACAGAGGCAAGGGGGCCAGCAGAAGGGGAGGGTTGCGGGGGAGAGGTCTGGGCCAGGGGACCTGGACAGCACGTACAGGACAGCTACTTCCCCTCTGAGATCCATCCCCAGCAAGCAGGCCTCTTGTCCAGCTTTCCCAGGGCGGAAAAGGCCCCCGGACCTTAGTGCCTGACCGTAGTTCTTGGTCGGGGCAGCACTGTGGCCTCCCTCGTCTCCCCAGCCAGGGCTGGGTCCCCCGGGGATGCCAATCAGAGTTACCTCTCCAGCTAGGATTGCTAGAAATTTAGCAAAGTTTAGATTTAGAGCACAAAAACAATTCTTTAAAATATGTGCCCAGCTAAATGTGAATTTCAATTTCAAATAACAAATGTTGCATGGGATATACTTAGACCAAAAAATTATTTGTTATTTATCCATCATTCCTAAATTTTATCTGGTGACCCTATTGCCACCGGGTTATGCTGTTTGCTCTTCTATTGTCATGCAACCAATTCCCCGCATGAAACTCATAGTGTTGTAAACATTTCCAGTGGTTTCTGTAATAAATTCCTAGCGGACCCTGACCGAGTTAGCAGAAAAACGAAACAAAAACCCTGGGAGGAAACACAATGAATTGTTACCGATAGTTGGGTTATCTCCAGTTGGTGAGCTTGCCGGTGGTTTTTATTTTTTTGTTTACACTTTCCTATACTTTCTAATTTTTTTTCAGCCAACATTTATTTCATAGAAAATATTTTAATGATTGAAATAAACAACGCTCTGTGCTCCTTGGAACCCTAAGTCCACAGGCCGGCTTCTGCAGGTATGGGGGGGAGGGAGAGAACTTTGTACCTGTGGGTCCCAGGCCGTGTGAATGATTAACCTCGGTCTAAGGGCCTTGGGGACAGGACAGGCGGAAAGGGTCAGAGCTCGCAGAGATCTGGCTCCCGCACTCGAGCTGTCATGGTTCCGGGAAACGGTCCCCAGATGCGGAAGGAGCCGGTAGCCACCCATCCCCGCCCAGGTGAGTGAGCGGCACCCGGTTGTCTCCCACGTCGCTGGACACAGGTGGGGCCCTCCCAACCTCAGACGCTACTTCCTGTCCCAGGTGAGGTCAGCGTCACCCAGCACAGGTGGAAACGGGGCACCTGACCATTTCCACGGCCAGAGGCCACCCGTGTCGGGAACCGCGTCCAAGGCCTTCCCTGTGGAGTGGGGGACCCAGCGCCTGTGCTGGGCTCCAGCCCTGGCTTCCCAGGGGGCACCTCGGACCCCTGCGGCCACGTGACCACATCTGCAGCCCCTCCCCGGCCTCACCCAAGCAGGCGAGACCGCCCGTTTCTTCATGCTGCCGCCCCTGCGGAACAGCGGGGCGGGGGCCAGGGTGGGCCCTGTGTGCCGTCTCCGCCCCAGGATCCCACCGGCGGCGCTGGGCCCCGGCCCATCACACGATCCCACGTGGGAAGAGCAAACTCGCCCTAGGGGAGGGTGCCCTGCCAGGGGGGACATGTTTCCCTGGCTCTTTGCACCCCACCCCGACAGGAGGAGGAGGAAGGTTTGTTACTGCCTCCTCCCTGCAAGCCTGATGAAACAAAGGACGTCAGCCCCGGGCCTCCTTGGAGGCCTCTACTCCCAGGCCCTCTGTTTACAGATGAGGAAACTGAGGCACGGAAAAGCTGAGTGAGGCCCCAGAGTCACAGAGCAGCAGGGTTAAAACAAGCTCCCGGGGATCTCCTGGCTCCTGTTCCCCTCCCACCTGGGGCCGCCCCTTCTCCTCCCCTCTCCCCTGCCTGCTCCTTGTCCTGGAGCAGGGGTGTCGCCTCTGTCCCTGTGCTGCAGCAGAGCCTGGGACACGGTGGGGGCGGGGGAAGGGGGCACAGGGCAGGTGCCCCCCTGGCTCTGGAGAGCACAGGGTGAGTCCCAGCACCCTTCCGAGGGGTCCCACTCCTTATGAAGAACGGCTGTGGCAAGGACAGTGACTGGAACCGTTTGGGGAGCCCGTTTCTGAGTTGGGGTTTTGCACGAGCGGACTGCGTGGCCTCCTGCCTGCCAGGGGCCCACAGAGCGCAAGGGCAGGTTGCTGCCGACGAGGAACTTAGGAACCCAAGACGTGCAGGAGGTCACAGCTGAATAGGTGGCGTTGCATCCACCGCGCGGACTGTACTAAACCCGCGCCGCAGGGTATTCGCTGACGCGGGAAAGCATCAGAGCCTGCTGCTGAAGGGAAAGCAAAGTTCCCAAGGCAGTAAGTGGAGTATGACCCCATTTATTTTGTTACAAAGAATACGAATGTATCTGCATGGAACAGAGTCTGCAA